CCGTGCTATCAAACAATGGCATAACTGCATTGTCTACTGTGTGAAACTAGCATTACAGAAGTTCGTGCGGGAAAGTTGTCCAAGTCCCAGCCGCGGCCTCACCCACTCATTACGCTACGCACAAAACTTTAACGAGTGGCAAAATGTTAGTTACTTTTTGCTATCCAATTTTAGTTTAACACATTGTTAAATTCTGAATGCCAGTCGTATAACAGTTTAGAGGGTTTTGTTTCGAAAATCGATTTAATTTTCTCAATTACTTGAAGGCATAAATGTCAAATTAATTCTAATAAAAAAAATAAACGAACGAACGCAGCTGACTGTACAGATATTGTTTTTTTTATGTATTTTAAATCTTACATAAATGCGGAGTCGCGGGTGAATGCTAGAATGTTATAACTCCATTTTTTTAAAATCATAGTCTTACACGTGTATACGGACCATTAACGACACGGTCTGTTGACGTGAATTATTTTATCAGATGATTCATATAGCAATTATAATGCAAGGTGAGTCATTTCTGATAAAAACTAGTTTGTATTATTTTTATACAAGGTATGCATTAGTACAATTTGTTTTAAATTATTGAATGGTCAAAGTAAATTGATAGTATGCAGTATCTATATAATACCTATTTTTAGTCGATGAAAGTAACTGTTTTACTACTAACCTGAACTGAGTAGAAGGGGAACGCATCAATAGTTCCTCTAATATTGGGTACTAGCTGGTCCCATGCGACTTCATCCGCATAAAATTATAAAATTAATGTTTTATTCTTTACATTTGTCAAGTTATCAAAGCAAATGTCAAAATGACATGACATGATGTCAAACCATGGCAATCTTGCTTCATTGATGTTGGCAGCAACTTATGGTCTCTTTCCTACATTAGGCTTAAAGCGTGACGAAGTGTAGGGCTTTTTATTAAAAAGATAATTATTCAAAAATATGCTGTAATTGATGACATCTTAGGCATCAAAGAATTATGTGTTTACGCTTTATTGTAATATTATAGTATAGACTATAGATATACCTGAACGTCTTTGATTATTTTGGTATTCGCGCAACTCGTCCTCTTGTCTTATTAAAAAAAAATTACATACTATTAAAACCATATCGTAAAAGACTACATTGAAATAATTATTAATTTTCTTGTTGATATCGTGGAAACAAAAAAAAAGAAAACCGCAATGTTAAGAATTTTAATTTGACATTTGAAGAAGAGGCGCAGGCCAGGATAATGTGATAATAATAAATGCCAGCGTGTGAGCGGGTCTCATTTGAATTTGTGATGTACCCATGAATAATGTATTAAGCCAGTTTTTGTGTCGACCGATGCATTATCTGACCAACGCATCTCGAAACACGCCATGTGCTAAGATGTACGACGATGAATACTTCAAATACCTATCTTTTAATTACGAACGACTAATAGTGTTCATTTTTTATTCATGTACATCTGTTAATATTTATATTCGTGAGATTGTGGTACATAAATCTATGTTTTATATCATGTAATAACAATTATTAAATTGTAATTGACTACATTTTAACAGCTATAATAGCGACACAGCAAGGTTTTGCAAAGTACAGCACAATAGCGTGTATTTGTTACAAGGAAAAGCCGACTCAGCTAAAATTCAATGCCGTCGTCGCGATGTGAAGGGGGAGGGGGGAGTCACGGGACGTGATGTTTTTGCTAATTCACTGATACGATACGTGCCACTCGTGTAATCAAATGTTGATACGTAACCGAGATATCGATGGCTCCTACGTAAACTGTTGTATGTTTGAAACGCAAATTTTACAAGACAAAACTTTAAACATTATTACGATGCATTAAATTCTTTCTTTTCGGCGTTACTTTGAAATTTTTATACAAATGGTTATTTATTAGGCTAATTATCTATACCAATAATATAAAGCGGAAAAAATAGTTTTTTTTTTGTGTGTATCGAATATCCCAACAACTACTGCGCCGAATTCAAAAAATTTTTTCACCATTTAAAAGCTATGTTACCAGTGTCAATTTCAAGTGTTAAAGCGCGTTCACGGGGCGAAGTCGCGTGCAACAGCTAGTAAATCATAAAACAGGGTACAAATCGCAATATTCTGGTTTACAATAGTCTACGAAGGAACTATTGATACATCATTGTGTTTGAAATTATGATCAGGAACTGGAATAATATATAAACTACAAAAGTTTATTATCGCCCTTTTTCCAATATCACAAAAGTGTCAAGGTCACTCTTAGACTATATCTGTGTCTTGGTTTGTGTATTTTTTTATGTCTTGAAGGGTTTAACATATTCATTATCGCGCGATAACGCCTCTCACCGAACCGATTAGTTTGTCTGATTGTAAAACGATTGAGGTAATTAAATTAACTATGCCTTATTCAACTATTAAGTTTTTTATAGTGGATAGTGCCCTGTTATATTGTTTTAAGTATTTTATTAAGTGTTTGAAATATCTCGAATGTTTTATAGAACGAAAAAGAATTCATACCCGTTATATTGCAATGTAAAGAAATAAAAGAAACAATTGTTCTCAAACTAGTTCGTCTTGTGTTGATTGCTATTCAGAAATTTACAGTTCACTAGTTTGTGCAGACTATTGCAAACAAAAATTTTATACCAGTTTTATGTTCTGTTTGAGTTGTTATGCGAGTTAATTAGTTAGGTTTGTAACTTTCACAAATTTATGACCATATTTATTCTTCTTGGTGTATGGATGTGATACGAGAAAGCGAGTCAAACAAAAGTTTAACCAATCGGTGTTTAGAGATGGATTTGTCAGGCTTAGAAATGTAACTGGAATGGTAAGAGTAGTGTTAAAATAACTGACCTACCCCGCTGCAAGTTACTCATTTACACAAAGTCCACGCTTCCATGAGCCGTGCGCTCCGTTTCACGCGACATATATGCAGGACCATTACTCTACATGTATAGAAAGAGCTCTCGACGTGCGACCTACGCCACGCCGCGCCGCTTTGAACCCACTACGTATAATATAGAGTTATATCTATCTGTGTGCAGTGTGCAAGCTGTGCACTGGACCGGTTCTAACTCGGCCTGCAAGTCTGCGAGCCGGGCCACGTGAGCCGTGCCCGACGCCGTGTAAGCCGGCGAACATTCTAGATTTTTCGCAATTTCATGTGATTCTTTTTACATTAACGTAATCACCGCGTTTTCGACTGTTAAAGTAAAAACAGTTTGTCTCAAATCCCTAAATATAATAATAATGTAAAAAAAAAACACCAACTTGTGGTAAGTTAAAAGTAGTCGGAAAGTTAACTGGTTGCATCTTCGCGACCTTTGGCATTTGTACTGTGGCCGGTACTGCATCTAGACATCGCATCGTGGGAAAGCGGACCCGGCAATGCGGCTTAATACCTTATTATGCTAAGCCTCCCTGACCTTACACGCTTCATTGCTCTCCTGGTAATGCAGACAAAGAGAATATGTTTAATTGTTTCATTCAAACTCTTGCATTTACAATATTAGTAAGACTAGAAGGAATAGTAAGTAATGAATATAATAATTATCATTATATTAAAAGTTGAAGTAATTACAAGTTTCTCTTGCAACAAGTTTTACAGCATTTTATGAATAGCTGTGCAAGTAAACACTTTGTTAAATGACATGTTTATCACAAAATAAAAACGTCAATGGTTTATCTAAATTGATATATCAAATATTTATCAGTTGTAGATAAGAATTAAATATCATTGAAATGTATTCAACGTGTTAGCGATGTCTCGTTTTGATTGTGACAAATGTTGGCCGATTAATTAAGAGATTACTGATTATAAATTAATTGTCACAATGATGTGGCAAACATTATGAGTCGTATTAAGGGCGATGTGATTTTCTTTAACCATGAAAGCCGTAATCTCTATTCATTGATATTAATTAATTTACAAAATAGGTTTGTTAAATGTTAAATTTTCTTTATTGTCTAAGTGGCAATAGAACCAGCACTCATTTTGCATCACATCATCATAGCTAGTGATCGCTACCCGTAATCGTATCTCGCCTTGCTTACCATAAATGTATAGGGACCATATAATTTAATTACGAAGAAAAATGACCACTCAACTGGGCTTCGAACCATAATAACGAGTATTTTTATATCTATCATATGGCATTTTGCTACAATTGTTGATATGATAGAAGACCGAACATGCCTTATCAGAGGACCGGTCTGCTATCAGTAAACACCAGCCATAAGTAAATACTGAAGAAATCCAACTTGGCGCGGGTTCAAAGCGCCGCCGGACGATTTATTTGCTGCCAAGTGTAATATTTTTAGGCGCTATGTATATGACATGGCGAATTCTATTTACTATATTTATAAACCTTAGATTTGCTTGTAGAATCAATAAACAATGGAAATAAAAGGTAAAGTTTTTCTTTAAATCCCATAGGCTTTTTAGATCTAACATTGTGGTTACATAGGACCACGTAAGCGATGTAACTAAGGGACGAAAACTTCGCAAGTCTTTGTTCGATAAGTACGATAAATTACCAAATTGCTAGAAAGCTTTTGAAATTAACAAGGCTCTGTAATAAGTTACCGTGTCTTTACTTCAATTGTGATATTATTAGCATAATATTGCAAAGCGCGTTGGTCGCAGTTCGGAGCACCGTCACCCGGCCTCGCCGAAGGCCGAGCCCAACTTTTATTGATTTTTTATGCGCATTGTCCATTCCGTTTGGCCAGTGACGCCCCCGCGCTCTGACGTACGTATCATTGAAACGTATGTGAAGAATGGAATATAATATGTAATATTTTATAATATTCTACGAATATACGACAATCGAGTAATTAAAAATTATTTTGACTTTCTAGACAGCTTTTAAAACCTAAGTTATAAACAAACATGCTGCCCAGAATAATGCCATTATGTTCACTATAAGAATTAATTTAATCCTATGTTGCGGTATTGATAGAAACAATACTAGTTCCATGTAATAATAAGAATATTGTTTGTTTCAGGTTTTAGTCGGCGAAAACACTCTTTGGAATTGAGAGTGAGTATTTCTATTATATAAGAATTCTTATTCTACGACTGTATTAAAATCTACGACTTGACAACGGTTTACAAAATACCGAAAATATCTTCGCGTTCTTCAATTAAATTGGAATTGCGTTCTCTAGATAACGCCTACTGATTTACATGTATAGTATCTTCCTATAGACGGCAGTGTCCTTTCACGTTCCATTGGAATGTAAAGTCGTTAAGTCGCTATACGTAGATATAGATAGCGGTGCGGGCCAAAGAGCTCGTCTTTGTTCGCATGAGTTATGCCCGCGTCCCGACAATCCGCTAAATGACCCCCGGCAACGCCACAAATCACCAGTCAACGGCTAAGACCAGGCTAACAAGGCTTGTTGCTTTGGCTAGCATCAATTAATGTTAGCTTCAGCATCGACGTGCTTAAGATATCCAATTAAAGGAAAATTATTTGAAATAAGAAAATTGTGATTTTATCAACCTCCCAAGATCCCCTTTCGAGAGGTGAAGCTAAAGTCGGGGTTATTAGGTCCACAACGTGACTTGGTTGTTAATTTAGTCTAGAATTATAATAGTTATTTAGGTATGATACCACATTTAATATTATTAAGAGTTTGTCCACGTTATTACATCGAAATAATTTTAATGCCCGGCCTAAATCATCAAAAAGTTTATTTTCAAGAATCTTAATTCAATTCACAGCAAAACGCTCATCTCATGACCTCCCCTCCCTCTCACCGCCTCCGTCGTCCCTCGGCTTACGACTTTCATACCGTAGCTGTGAATATATTTTCACGCCAAAACAGCACTAAATGCCTGCGACAAAAACTTGTAAATCGCTTGCAATTCAATTAAACGGACACACGCGATCATTAAGTGTGTATATCTGTTAATAATGATTGCGATTGTCTGGTTGTACGCGCGCGGAGTTACGACGCAGTTGCTGGGCGCTTCCCTCCCCCCACAGTACCACTACCCCCCGTATGCCAATTTCACACGAGGGCTGAACGCGGTTTGAACAAACAACGCAGATACTGAAACAATACTTTTTTCGACACTACGTATTCGTTCAAATAATTGCAATAATACTGCACTGTCTGTTCTTACCCATATGTGAAAATAGCATTACAGTCCGGTCGATACTCGGTACGTCTTGATATAAAATAGCATTCAGAATCGCTTTGTAACGCCTGAATGGATGTGGCCTGTGGCAATGCGCGCGCGTCTCTCGTACATGTGTGCGTGTGACGTGTATGAATTATCAGCCACATGTGTCGTATGCACGATCAGTTAAATGAAACTCCTCCACGCCACTAGGGTTGCTAAATTATGCATCGTTATGAGTCAAACTAGGGTTGTTTCTGCGCAGTTTTGTACACACTGGATTTTTTGTTGGCAATCCTCAATCAAACTACATCCAATTTGTTCATTGTGCAGAAATTCAAGTGACTTCTTAGTTGAATGTGTGAGCTATTATTAAAAGCCAAGGTCGGTTTTTAAAAATAGTCATTTTCTCTCGTTTCTTTCACACTAATGATAAGTTTACGTAAAAAGTATTTTTAACTTTTTTAAATGTCATAGGAATGTGATTTTTATCAATAGACTTGTTGGAGTTAGCAATAGTTATTTTGCTGACTACTAATATTATAAATAGAAAATATTTGTATTTTTGGTTTTTTTCTTTCAACGTTAGAAAGGTAATTTATCCGTGAGTAAAATGGGCTATATTTTTTAATTTCACGCGGGAGAAGTCGCAACAGTTTAAGAACATATTCGTAATTGTAACATAGCTTCCCATACAGTTATGTAATTCTCACTATATCAAAGGTCACAATTGGTAGTCACGCGTTATGATAGTGCTACAACACATTATATCAGAACAACAAGAATTTTATGTTTATTTCATTCATCATGCCCCGACTATTGATAGCGCACAACAATCATTATTAACAATAAACATTATTAAGTTAATCCTACTTATAAATGCGAAAGTTTAGTTGGATGGATGGATGATTATTAGAGTTTGTAACCTAATCGGCTGAACGGATTACTATGAAATTTGGTATAGATGTAGAGGATAGTCTGGAAGAACACTTAGGCTAGCCATTTTTTTTTGTTTTTTTAATTCCACGCGGTAGGAACCGCGGACGAAAGCTAGTAGGTGATAGTGGTGTTACACTTGATTAATCAATCCAGAATATTCTTAACCCCAAATTTCAAATATGACATTTGTACATGAAAATTATTGCTATCTCAACTTTGTCAGTGAGAAATATAAAAATGTCTTAGTGGTAACATGATACTCTCCCCCAAACAGAAAACTTTTGTAAGCAAATAAAGGATTTTAGACATTTTTTGTCACGTTTCTTCGTTAATGGAATAAGATTTTTAAAGCGATTCATATATTTGATCTATCGTTTCTGAATGTTTTCCGTTAGGTTGCACATTCCGGGAAGGGCGCGGGTGTCGTGAGAGAGGGCAAATACTGCCCGCGCTAAGACCGGTCCCCTACGTGAACGGACTCTGTAATTGTTTAAGTGTGCGCATTTTTTGTCAATAAATATTAATGTACTGAATAGAAAATACGTTGATTAATTCTCCAGAAATCTGCGATATTTTTTATGAATACGGTCCCACTTTATCTACTAATGGAATACCTTTGCGTAGATTTAGAATTTTATAGTTAGAAAATTATGCTAGTCGATGACCTTATTTCTTTTTAAAATACACTAAAAATCGATCAAAAGCCATTGGGTAAACCATATTTCAAAGCATTCTTTCGCAAAAACGAACGCCCGTATCGCCAGTAACGATAGTACCTAACTCAAGGCTGCCGGAATTCGATTCAGCTCAGATATGTGTGCGTGTAAGTGGTAGCGAAATGTGATAGTTAGGGTTGCCACTACGATTTTTTAAATAAAGAAAAAGAAAAGTTTTGACTATCTTGTTTAATTTGTAATAGTTGAAATTAGATATAGACATTTTCATATTTATTATAAGCGTTAGGAACGTTAGCAACCCTATTAATATGCTATTTGTCGGAATACGTCATGTGAGGACGGGCGCGAAGTGATACATATCGTGTCCAGAGCGACGGATGCCTCGCATTTGCATGAATTCTTAGTATTCTTTATATTATGCGAACATTAAATATCAACATATTAACATACTTGATATGTGTTATGTGCCTATATATTAACACGATCTTTATTGTTGCAATACCTGTTTGATTCTTTTATTATTTGATTATGTTACATTTAAATTTCAAACAGTAAAAAAAGTTGGCATTTGTGTAGAAAAAATGCAAACTAAATTGCCACTACAATGCTACTAGATATCTTATTATTCTTACAAATAATTATTGTTATAAAATATGCACCGTTTTTATTACTTATAGTCGCACCATACAAGGTCAGTTCTCGGCCCATAATTTGCGGCCTGTTTTTTTTAATAATCTTCCGAACCCAAGCATAATGCGAGTCGAGGCGCTCGCTATTACGCTTCCACACGAGCCGGCTTATGTTACCACTCGTATGAAATGTGATAAACAGGAAAATGCTTGAGGCGTTGCCGTCCAACTATACACCTTACCACACTATAGTACACACTGTACCATAACGTTTTGCGAATAAAGACTTTATTAACGTAGCATAAGGTTCAAAGTGAAGTAATCTATAGAACGTCTCGTGTGGTAGGCGCCGAAGACATATAGGACGTGTTCATGCGCTTGGAAAATAAAATCCAGTCCTCGCAAGGATTTCTTCTCATGTTTCGCCGAAAGTTTCTGCGAAGTCCCTTTTTAAGGACCCGGACGTCGACCGAAATATTCGATAGTATTATTTATCGCTGTCTTATTGTTTTTTTTTTATGTCGTTATAACAAAATAAAAGACTAGTTGTTGCTCGCGACTTGGCCCGCGTGAATTTAAACATTAATACAGTATATAGGCTATGTTACTCATAGATAAGTTACCTTTCTAATGGTAAAGAATTTTTAAATCGGCCGAGTAATTTTTGTGTCAATCAAATACATACAAAAATGCAAAAATGGAGATATTTCCTCTTTATAATAACAAGAATAAAAGATGTAAATAGTATTTTTACATTTTGATACTTTCTGTATAACAACTGAAGAATTTCATATATGCGTGATGTTATTTCCTAACACGGTAAGAACGCGAGTGACGTCATCCACTACGCAATGTTTACGTATCCTAATTGCGAAGTAGGTTATGACTTAGAGTAGGATACATATGAAGAATACATGAATGTTATCAAATAAACATGCAGGATAGAGTATAGGGATATAGTCGCGATCAAAAGTCAGACAATCCCCAGAACATATAACTGTTCAGTGCGGTGCACAGCGTACAGCAACGGTCAATGACCAACGCCTAGCTACATGATGGTTACCACACGGACGGAAATGCGGTGGCCGTTCGATGAATTTGTAGCCCGAATTTATTTTATGTTCCATGATTCGGTAGCTCAATTCCATCTCACATATAAGCCGCACGTATGTATCCATACTAATATTATAAAGAGGAAATATTTGTATTTTTGTATGTACTGGAATAACGCACAAACTACGTAGTAAATTAATTTATCTCTTAGTGACATAGGCTTTTTTTATTATTTTTTTAATTTGGCGCGAACGAAGTCGCGAGCCTTTTGCTTGACCCTGTACATTTTCATGTGCAGTTTTCCCCTTAAAATTTATTTACGTTATTTTAAAGTCTGTCTCGATGGTTGTAGATTAGATAAGTCGATACGTGTACGTACGATAGTTATTCGAGCACGCGTTCAAAGGTGCTTTGGTAGATCCGTCGACACGTCGTCGGTGTACAAAACTAGCTGGCTAATTCAGCACCGCTGTTGCCAGGGCATTTACCTCGAACTTAGGGTTCCCACTGTTTATAGTAGCCGGAAGATAATGTCATTGTAGACTGCAAAAATTGTCAGGAAGTATGTGTGAAATAAAACATTTTTTTAGATAAAATGACAGATGTATCCAATA